CAGGGCGCGTTTGGGACCAAAAAGCCCCGTTATTTAAGGTGGAACCGCGGAGCCGCCCCCGGGCAGGGGGGAGCGCGGCCGGCGCCGCTGCCCCCGCGGGCGCGCAGGGAGCACGAGGCCTGCGCGGCTCTGCGCGGGGAAGGCGCGCAGCGGCGCCGCGCCCGCCCGGGCTTTTCATTGTTATTTTTATTACGATTTTCTGACTGCGACTCCGCGTTCCCGGCAGTGTCCCCGACGCGGGACTCGCTGCCACCGCGCATTAACTAAGGACGCGGCCGCCCCTCTGAGAGCCCCGCGCACAAGGGGCCGCGTATTCCTGGGCTCACTTACATGTGTCCTTTTAATTACTCGCCTCTTTACCTATCACCTTTAATCACCCGGCCGTCCCTGCGGGATGACGGTATTTAAAAGCATCTCCCGAAGAATGTAATGGAAATGCAATATAGCGGAGACGGTAATGGAAATTTCCCTGGCACGATCTGTCTTTTCACTCAGCGAGTTTATGGCCTGACAGTCGCTTGTTTTGAGCAACCCGAGCCGGGGGTGGCAGAGCACTTACAGCAGAGCCAGCCCCGGCTCCGGGGATCGGCACTTCGCCGCCGCCCCGGGGACGCGGAGCACCCGCGGAGCATTAAATATAATAATAATAATAAAAAGAAGTAGCACTGGGAGCGCAGCGGGATATTGTGCTCATCAGGAACCTGCTTTCCGCGCTCTCGCGCTGCGATCCGCGCTCCTCCCGCGGCTACGACGCCCGCGCCATAAATCCCGCGGGAGCGATTCCTCTGAGCGCCAGCAGCCTCCGGCTGGGGTGGAGGGGCAAGCTGAAGGAGGACTTCGTTTCTTGAGAATGAGAGTCAGGAGGAGTGGGGCAGGAGGGAGAGAGAGGAAAGTCGCCCTCCGGCTCTCACACCCCAGAGGAGGGAGGAAAAAAAGATCTTGGAGCTTCAGAAAGTTCAAAGCCCCCACCCCGCTCTGGAGGCGCCGGTGGTTCCGGGCTCTGGTCACTAGCTCCCCTGGCGCCCTCTCTGCCCTGGCTCTAGGGTCACCGACAAGAGCCGCCCCGGGATCTCACTTTGTGCCTAGCTTGTGCCTTTATAGGGGCAGAGGCAGATATATATATTTTTTTCTTTTCTCCACCGTTTTACTTTAATAAAGACATCTCGAGGCATTATTTACAAGCGCACATAATTTACCTATGCTATTTGGCAAAGCAACTTCGGAAAAGAAAGTGAATGAATAAATACTTCATAACTGCTGGTAGAACAGACTGGCTCCTGTAATGAAGAAAAGATTTATGTCACGTTATTCCAGCCCAAATAGCAGCAGCCTCTGTTTGTCTCAGCCCAGTGCTTCTATTTAAATGTTACTTTCATATATTATGTGGCATTAATTTAACTATAGCTCATTAAGGCAGAATGAAATGGTTAAATTAACTTATCAACCCATAATGATGATGAATGAGGTATTAATTCAGATACAAGCTGGGCAATTTGCAAGTTTACGCATTCTGATGGTTCTCAAATAACATTTTGAATAGCGGGTCAGCGCCTCAATCAATTACATAAGCATGTAAAGTCGGTCTCTCGGAAAAAAATCCTTTTTCATGCATATGCATTAAAACATGTTCGCAATTATCCTCGGAAATTGCCTTCATTGGATTAAGCAGCAGCCTTGGACGCGGGTTCTGGTCTTCCCCGCGCCGTTATTAAAGCCAGGAGCAGCGCTGGCTGCAGCGGGGTGTTTGTTTAAACGCTGTTTACCGAGGCGCTGCGCCGGCTGCGGGTGTGTTCAGGGTCCGCTCCCAACGGCAAAACTGCGCTGCAAACGCTTCCGTGCCTCCTCCGGCACACGCAGGCTCTCCAGAAGAGCCAGCAAGTCGCTTCAGGAGAGCACTTAGTGTTTTCCTCGGACGCAATTAATTACTGTCCTCAAAGCGAGAGGCTGATAAGTGTCCTTTACTTGGGCTCCGTTTAGGGCTCTTGACTCATTAGCTGTGAGTGGTCTTTGTAGGAGGAATATCAGATGCACAGGGCTGACACACGGGTTTTACACGCGCGGCTGCAGTGGCAGGGGGAAGTACTAATTACTTAAGGCCAGCTAATAACGTAGCTCCCTCTCGCTACCTCAAGTGGGTGAAGTTAGTCATCTGCGAGAAAATCACCATCAGAAGCTGTAGAGAAATCACAGCCACATACGGATTTCGACAGGTCTTTACTAATGGAAGAGGAGTGCGCAGATCAGTGATGATTATTCCCGATCCAACATTTCAGGCGGACTTTAAATAGCTTCCCCACCCGTCTGAGTCATGAGGGGCCGAGGGGAACCAGCCGCTCCCCAAGCTGCGCAGGGACTTCTTAGAGTTGTCTCAACTGTTTCAAAATACACTCGTTACCGCTCCTCGCCGTCCGGTTTTTTGCCAGCGAGGCCTCGATGGAGTCTCAGTGCGGATGGAGCCTCCACCCTGCGAGCCCCGCTGCAGCTCGCGGGGCTTGGGCGG